CCTTCATTCCTTCTTCCGTAATCACCTGTGCATATCGGATTCCTTAGACTAACTGTAAGATCAGAGACAATGTCTTCTTATCTCTCTCTGCAAAAGCCTAACTAATCCAGGCGTTCCCTTGGGCTGGGTCTCTGCCTTATTGAGTGAATATCTCTCAGAGAACATTAGGAACTTCCACGTGAGGGAAGTATAGCAGCACCTTTCCAAACCCTCCCTTCACTCCACAAATTGTCTTAAATCATCAGAAGCTTTTAAATCAACAAAACCCCAAGCTCTTTCTCTAGATGGAGGCTTGAGGTCTTTTCTTTTCCTTTTCCAGCTTGCCTTCTCTCTCTTAGTTCTTAGGTAAATCAACTTAGCTTCTTCAGCTAAGACCTCTCTCCTATTCTAATTTCTTGCAGAATGTGATTTTCTTTAGTGGGAAACTGGGAAGACTTTCACATGCTAATATATTTTGCCCCCTCAAACATGTATCTACTACAAACGGCTTGCTCTTAGGAGACTAAAAGAAATGCTCAAGAATGAATGAATGGCCCTGGCTGGTGTGGCTCAGTGCACCGAAGGGTTTGATTCCCAGTCAAGGGCATGTACCTGGGTTGCAGGTCTGATCCCTGTGCCCCTGTCAGGGTGCATGCAGAAGGCAACCAATTGATGTGTCTCTGTCACACCCATGTTTCTCTCTCTGTCTCTTCCCCTCGCCCCTCCCTTCCAGTGTCTCTAAAAATCAATGGAGCCCTAGCTGGTTTGGCTCAGTGGTTAGAGCGCCGGCCCACAGACCAAAGGGTCCTGGGTTCGATTCCAGCCAAGGGCATGTACCAAGGTTGCAAGCTTGGTCTGTTGGGGCATGAGTGGGAGGCAACCACTCGATGTGTCTCTCTCACATTGATGTTTCTCTCTCTCCTTCTCTCTCTCCCACTCTCTCTGAAAAAGCAATGGAAAAAATGTCTTCCATCTTAGGGTGAGAATGAAAAAATAAAAGGCCCGGCCGGGCGTGGCTCAGCGGTTCAGCATCGACCTAGGATCCAGATGATCGGGGTTCGATTCCCAGTCAGGGCACATGCCCGGGTTGCGGGCTAGGCAGCTCTCATCATTGATGTTTCTCTCTCTCTCTCTCTCTCTCTCTCTCTCTCCCCCTCCTTTCCTCTCTCTGAGATCAATAAAGGTATGTTTTTTTAAAAAAAAAAAAAAAGAATGAGTGAATGATCAGGGTAACCAGCCCACATGGGACATTAAGATCAAACTCTCTACTCTCCATGTCCAATACTTCTTCCTAAACCAAGCCATTATAATTGCTTGCCTGGATCTGCTGCAGTCTTTTCTTTTTTTAAAAAATATATTTTTATTGATTTCAGAGAGAGGAAGAGGAGGAGAGAGATAGAAACATCAATGATGAGTTGTCATTGATCGGCTGCCTCCTGCACGCCCTGACTGGGGATCGAGCCCACAACCCGGGCATGTGCCCCGACCGGGAATCAGATGGTGATTTGGATCCCAGGTGGACGCTCAACCGCTGAACCACGCCCGGCCAGGCTGCTGCAGCCTTGTAAGTGGTATTTGTTCCTCTACTCTTGCGCCCCTAGGATCCATTCTCCACACAGAGGGCAGAGAGATCTTCCNTGCAGTCTTGTAAGTGGTATTTGTTCCTCTACTCTTGCGCCCCTAGGATCCATTCTCCACACAGAAGGCAGAGAGATCTTCCAAANTCCACACAGAGGGCAGAGAGATCTTCCAAAAATATATGTAATATAATTTCATTCCCCAGCTTGAAACCCTCCAGTGGTCTCCCTTCACATTATAACAAAATTCAAACTCCTAACCCTGCAAATCTCTTCATGATCTGGTGCCTGCCCACCTCTAACATCTGTCATATCTCATGTCCCTTCCTCCTTTGCCTATCATGCCCCAGCCGCACCAGGATCCCTTCGAAGGCTTCTGCATCAGTGGCGTCTTCTGTTTAGAGTGCTCTTGTCCTTTGTTTTGGAGTGAACTCCTTTCTGTCCTTCAAACTTCACCATAAATGTCACCTCCACAGAAAGGCCTTCCATGACCTCCTGGTCTAGGGTACCTTCTCCCTAGGGTCTAGGGTACTATCTCACCACCTTTCCTTATTTTCCATTCAGCCCCTATTGCTGCATAACAATTTGTTATTATTATATATCATGATTCTACAGGTTAGGAAATCAAACAGGGCACAGCTTGTCTCTGCTCCATGGGGCTTCTGCTGAGATGATTGTAAAGGCTGGGAGCCTGGAACAATGAGAGGTTGGCTGAGCCTCTCTCTCTCCCCCACACACCTCTATATGGCTAGCTTGGGCTTCCTTCCAACATGGTGACCTCATGATAGCTGAACCTCTCACATGGCAGCTCAGGGTTCCAAGAGACCAAGGCAGAAGCTTCCAGTTCTCTTGAAAGGACTTGGAACTATTATAGGGTCTCTTCTGCTATACTCTACTGATCAAAGCAGACCCAGGTCAACTCAGATTCAGAGAGGGAACAGAGAGCTTCCTTCTTGGGGGAGAAATGTGATAGAAGCCAAGGCCATATCTAATGTGCCAGAACCACATTTTGGCAATGATGTTTCATTTTCTTATTAATTTCTTCGTTTACATGTTTAACTTGCTTTTTGAGCAAACAGTGAAAGTACAAACCAACCAGTTTCTTTTCTCTCATCATTGCTTCTAAACGAACTATGTTGATTCTCCCTTTCTTGTCTCTTAATAGCATTTTGGGCAGATCTTCTAATGTTCCTGTCACTTTAATTTATTAAAGGTCCAGCCCCATCTAGGCTGGTCCATCCAATGTAAGTATAACACCTCTTTCTTCCAAAGACAGAGCCTGGATTTGGCTCAAGGGAGCTGGGAGGGGCACGGTCTGTCCCTATACTCCTCCCTAAGTCTCTCTCTCTTTCACACAGGGTCAGGAAGGAAAAATTGGGGGAAAGTCCCCCTTAGCTGTGGCCATTTCTTCTCTGGCCAAGACTGTGCCTAGCGTAACAGGTGCCAACTCTCTTGTTGTGCACCACAGGGCTACCCCAGAGCACTATTCCTTGAGGTGTTTCCTTTCCAGCTCTATGTCTGATACTCCCCACTCAGCAATTGCCCCAACTCTACACCCACAGCCTATAGCCTGTGGGGTCTCCTCGTCTGCAGGCCTCCCTTTTGGGAGAACAAGGGCAAAGATGCCCATAGCCATTTGCTTTTCACCATGTCCCCCTGACTCATGAGAAACTCCTGCTGGATGCCCCAATGTGTCCCCTTTCTCTGTCCCCTGTCACTCTTCAGTTCTCCACTCCCCTAGTTCCCATTCAGATAGCACATGGGCAAATCCAGCTCCACAGAGAAGAGGGGGAGGGACCAGGAACCCAGGTCTCTGGCAACCTCCCCTCCCTCCCCTTCCTCCTTCCTGGTCTTTGCTTGTGGAGGGTGCTCAAGGGGTGCTGGGTGATGTTTGGGCCTAGGAGAATTACCTCAGCCATCTCCTAATAGATCCTGTAGGCAGATATGTCCATCCCCAATGGTTTCTTCTTTGTTTTAGAGTGTGGGGTACTCAAGACACTTTTTTTCCTTAGTTATGGGTCCAGTCACCAGATTGAGCAACAGTAAATCCCACCCAATATCCTGTAACACATGATATGGTCTCTCTCCACTCAAATCCAGGATCTGTGAGAGCAGATCCTTGCGTCCCTTATTCCCCACTGGATCCTTGGTGCCTAGGACAGTGTCAGGTACACAGATGGTGCTCCACAAATAAATAATGGGCAAGTGAAAAGGGCCCTTTAGGGACTAACCGATCTGGAGGACTGCAATATGGTCAAAGGGACCCGTCAGGTCCTTTCCTCCTCATTCCCACTGCTTCTGGCCTCTAAGAGCTCCCCTGGTCTCTGGCTAGTTCTCTATAGGGGTCCATGGCCTGGGTAGGAAGACTGGCCTCCATGTGGGTGATCTGGGAAGCTGAGAGCCTTGGAGATGATATAGGGACTGAGCTGGGGTCCCTGGGGCCAAGACAGGGTCTGGCACAGGGGAAGGGGTGCTATTTTCAGCTCTTAGTCCACCAAAGGCAATGGCTCAGAATGGCTGCAGCCCAAGAGGGGAGATGCAAGGGAGAAAGTGCAGTTCTGCAAAGCATGTGCCCTGGGGCTGGCCCACACCCACCCTGTGATCACCAGCCAGAGCACATTCTGACCAGAGCGTCCTCCAGGGGGCCCAGGCCTCAGTGAACCTACAGCCAAGGGCAGCTGCTTTAGCAGGGCCAACCCACCCCACCCCACTGAACGGTCCATGGCTTCCCTCCAAAGCCCAAGGCAAGCCTGCCCCTGGGTCCCTGTGGGTTTGTCCTGAGCAGCCTGCAATAAATGGGGAACTCTCCTTCCCACAATACATAGAACAGTAAAACTATATACATGACAGGAGAGGCTTCTACACATACTTCTACACACACAGACACATCCATTTAAACTAGAGGTAGATGGGAGTCTGATAGTATGTGGTTTGGACTGAAAACATTTTAAAAATCATTTTTTCTCATTTCATGCCAAGGCCTTCAGGAGGAAGGCAGAGGATGATGGGAGGCAAAAGGGAAAGGAAATCGGGCAGAATCTGCAGAACTCTGCACTCAGCAGCCTGAGCAGGCTGGAGATGGGGGCCAGGACCTGAAGAGCGTGGGAGCCCCCATTCACTCAGGGTCCAGAGGGCCAGGCACTGGGCTGGCTATGGGGTGGCCTTGAGGGGAGGGGAAGGGTACTGTGCTCTTGAATTTGATGGTGTTCAGGGAACACTGGGGCCAGACTCCTCCAACTTTGGGGCCAAGACTATATCTTGGGAACCCCTCATTATAGAAAGAGTGGACCTCAGGGTTTTTGCCTAAAACAGCTGAGGGGAAGACACCCTAGGAAGCTGCAGGAGAGGCTGGAGCCAACCCTTGTGGCCCATGATCCCTTTTGCTGTCCTTCCATTTCTGCTGCTGTTCACTGCTCCAGCAGACACAATCCCCTGGAGAAGCTGTTTCCAGACTAGAATAACTTTATTCAAGAGAATCTGCCTTGGCAGTCAGACAGCCATGCGGGGCAGTGTGCTCCATGTCCAGCCTGGGACCCACTCGTTGCCCGTGTCCCTGAGAGGGGCAGAATGGTGACGCCTTCCTTGGCCATAAGGAACAATGTCCCAGTACAAGCAGTGGCATGATGGGAGGAGATACAGGAGGGGACTAGGAGTGGCAAAGGCCCCAGGCAACGGCTGTTCTCAGGAGCTGAATGTTCTGCTCTCCAGGGTGCAGAGCCGCTGCCAGGAAGAGGAGGAGGCCACAGGGCCCTCACCCCCAGCCTGCCTTCCCACTCAGCTGGGGCCATGGCGGCCAGAGCAAGCCCTCCACCCATCCTGGCCAGGAGCTCCCAGAGCAAGGGCTGCTGGTCCAGCCAGAGCACGCCTTCCACCCCATCCCGGCCAGGAGCTCCCAAAGCAAGGGCTGCTGGTCCACGAAGAGCCCAAGGCCCAGGGACAGGCAGTGGGTTCCCCCTCTCCTCTTCTTCTCTCTCCAGCCCCTGGGAGACCCCGGGGCCTCTGGGGCCTGGCTTGCCCCTCACAAAGTCACGTCTTGCTTCTTTCCAAGCTGACGCACACATGAGCTGGGCCGTGGCTGCCTTCTTTCTCTCACGTTCTGCTTAAGGCACTGAATTCCTGAGGGTCCTGTCCCTCTCTGCCCCTCGTCTTGGAGGGAGCGAGTCATTCAGCAGGGATACAATTGGCTAATAAATAGAGGGCAAGTGCCAGCAAAGAGGTAACTGAGAGTGTGACGATAATAAATACAGGAGCCGGGTATGGGGTCTCTCTCCTCCGTGGGGCCGGTTACCTTGGGGGAGAAGTATCACCGCACCTGCCAGAGGCTAAACACAGAAAGCGGTATCAGTACACGGTGGGGGGCGGGTCCCTCCTACGGGAGGGGGGACAGACCCAGGGGGGAAGCTGGGACAGGGAGCACGGGGAGATTGCAGCATGCCTGGATCTCTGCTTGCACCGAGGCCAAAGAGAAGCTAGGAGCTACCCTGCGCCAAGCATGGACCCAGGCACCCGGCCCTGTGCTAAGCACTCTCTCATTTACCTTCCCACTTAGCCGGGCCACGGCGGCCAGAGCAAGCTCTCCACCCGTCATGAGGACGGCACTGTTAATATCATCCTTTTGCAGATGAGAAAGCTGAGGCTCAGAGAGGTTAAGAAACTTGCCCAAAGTCAGACAGCTAGTCGGTGGCATGAACCCAGTCGGGCCCCATACACTAACACCACTGATTACTTTAGGACAGCAGTCTTCAAATGAGGGTACAGGTGCCCCTGGATGTACAAGAAAATTGTCCAAGATGTATATGAGTGCTGATAGTTTTAAAAGAATCCATTTTCAGTTCTCCACCTGAAAACTGCCTGCCTGAGAGGTCTGCTTCCCTGCCATCCTGAGAGTTCAGTTACCTTTCTACCTGGGAGCATCCTGCTCATTCCAAGGCTGTGACAATACTTTGTCCCAAGGCAAATATATCCAGGGACACTGAACAAAGAACAACTTGAGATACTGACTGTAGGTGTTGAAAAAGGAAATATGGCAAATGACTGGATGACCAAGCCTTTTGTGAGTCGGATAGTTTGAAGTCTTTTCTTTCAACAGAATTAACAACTCAACCGAATCGTCAGCTAACACGTCGTGAGAAGTAATTTTTGTTAGCAGATTACCTTGAGGTCTTTGGCAAATATCTTGGGAGGAGTTTGTGGATGAAAAAGGGGCCGCATACTAAATCTCAAGAGCTCAAGGGGGCCTTCTTGCTGGCCCAGTAAACTCAGAGACCAAGAATAACCACACAGATGGTCTGAACATAAAACTTCCTAACTAAAAGTGAGCCAAGGTGGGTGGTCACGTCCTAGGCCTGTAGCTTCCTTGACAGAGGCCAATCATTTCCTGAGTGCGCCTAATGTCTTTTTGCAGCTAAGATAACATACCTTTGAAATGTGAGAGTAATCTCCTTTCCAAACTCTCGGAGCACAACCTCCCACCAGAGCAGGAGAGCACAGAGCCCCTCATGGTTATCTGGTTCCCCATATACCATCTCTATGTGCTGTAAATGTTACTTATTAACCATCCTGTGCCCTCCATTGTAAAAGAAGTATATATTTATCCATTTTATTTTATCCATTCCTAGAGATTTCCCAGCTTTGCTTTCTTCCGCCTCCCTAACCTACATAGCACCAATGAATTTCATGTAACCCTTCTTTTGTCTCCTTCGATTCTAATGTATAAAATAAGCTACAGAACTGCCAGTCTCCGGAGCATTTTCTCAACCCGATGAGATTTTGCTTCCCGGCAATTGTCAGTTTGGCGCAAATAAACTTTTAAAAATTCTCTACAGGTTTGGATGGTTCTTATGTTGACAAGTTCAAGTAATTAAGTGGCATCTAGTCCCATTTACTTATTTATGTGAGCGTGATTTCTCAACCTTTTCATCTATAAAAAATGGTGAACAGAAATGCAATACTGAATCCTGTCTCAGTCTGGCATGAGGTAACATTCATTAGCGGGTTCATTAATTGAAAGAAGTAGCCACATCCATCTCATTGAGATGCATCCTTAATTAGACTGATTGTATTTTTTTTTTTAAAGATTTTTAAAAGTTGATTTTTAGAGAGAGAGGAAGGGAGAGGGAGAGAGAGAAACATTGAAGGGAGAGCGAAACATCAATTGGCTGCCTCTTGCAGGCCCCGTGTGGATGATCGAGGCTGTAACCTGGGCATGTGTCCTGACCAGGAATTAAATCAGCAGCCTGTCGGGGCACAGGAAGATGCCCAACCTATTGGGTCACACCGCCCGGGGATTGACTGTACTTTTATGTTTAACACTTATTAAAATATGATGTATTTGTGCTGTTTTGATCAATTGGTATGACTGATAATTATTGTGATAATTCATTCCAGGAGAAAATTTAAAGTTTATGTTTACAAGAAATTTAAACTAATTCAAACTTATATACCATTGTAGCAGGTACACATGACAAGGTGATATAGAAAAGACTTGAACATTAAGAAAATTACATTAGGCTAAAATTCTGTGGGGGAGGTGAAATGGGAATATAAATTCAAGGAAAAAGCAGTGCTACAAATATGCAACTGATATTAAAGGGGGTGCATATTGTGGCTTTGTTGCTGTTGTTCATTTCTTTTTAAAGTGCATGATGTTGTTAAATTAAAACACCTTATCCCATAAGATACATCTCAAGAGTTATCTAGTGGCTTTATATTAAAACATTAATATTTATAACATGCCAGAAATGATATCTTTACAACCATTTATAATTTTGATGGAAAAGTTAAATGTTAATGTAAAAATGAGCAAGGGAGCACATGTGTTTTTAAAATTCTTTCAGGAGATTCCCAAATGAGATGTTTGAAGACTGCTGCCCTGGCAGATGGAGCAACAGGACGCTTTCTGTGTGGGCCTGCCTGGCGGCGGGGAGCCCTGCATGGACGACACTGCCAGCTCCTTCCCCAGCCGCTGCTTGGGCCCAGGGGAGAAATGAGGGCCACGTGCCTTCGGGGGCCAACTTCCCTACAATCCCTGTCTTCACAGAGTGGGGTGGAAGTCTCTGTTCACGGAGGGGAGCACCCATGGGGTAAGAGTTGGGTCAGCTCCCGTCCCACGGCCCTAAGTGATTTCCTGGAGCCTTGGAACTAAAAGGAACCCGTGGTGTGACTGAGTTACTGTAGATGTGAAATATTTTATTTTTACTATTGACTCTCACAGATTTGGATTGTCCCTTCTCTAATCCTCTCCCAGCTAAATCAGGCCTGGACTCCAACCTGGACCTCCAGGTATGAAGCCAAGATGGACAGGTAACATTGAGAGGGAAATAGGAAGTGGGTGGACCCCCAGACCCCCTGGGGGTAGAAATAGGGGCGTGGGAGCCAGTGGGCTCTTGCTCCTTTCCCAAGGCCTCTAGGCAGTAGCCCTGGGTACATTTTCAGCTATTGGACTTTTCATCACTAGAAGGTAAGCACTTAAGAGCAAGAATCTTGTTGGCTCATTTACCGGTATACCTGACAGACAGTTAAGTGCTTGGTAAGTGTTTCTAGAATGACTAAATGCTTAGTGGGGCCCTGGCTCCTCATTTTACACAGAGAGAAAAACTAGGCTCAGAGAGGTGACTTGCTCAGGCCACACAGAGACTTGGGCTAAGTCAGGACAAGAACCAAGGCCCCCTGATGCTTCCTGGGCCCTAGAATCTCTAGAAATGCAGCTCCCTGTTCTGGTCCCCAAGCCTGCTCTTGGCCTCGCTTTCCTCCTTCCCCAGCACTGACGCCTGCTGGTGGGGGCTCCCTGCTGGCTCAGCCTCCTTGTCATCCCTGGACCGCCCCCCAGCACACTCACAGGTGTCAGTCTTTGAGTCTCTGCTTCTCTTTCTTCCTCTTCCCACTGCCCTTGGGTCTCCTCCTGCAATAAGCCAAAAGCGTCAGGACAGAGTGGCTGGGGGGTTCTCATGCTAGGACAGGGGCTGGCAGGCCTGAGAATAGTCTGGAGCTCCAGCCAGGCCACTTACCTTTCTGGCTTCATTATATCCTGCAGGGGCCTGGGGAGACAGACAGACAGAGAGGAGCAGGGGAGAATCAGGAGAGAGACACTGGGGGCTCCCTGCCACCCACACACCTCCCCTCAGATAGTCATCCTGATCTTGCAGTTGGCGCTGAAGCCACTAGGGGGTAGCATGGAGCTAGTGAGGAAGAGATGGCCAGAGGCCCCTGGGCTTCGGTTCCCACTCCAGACTCTGGTGACCCCACCAAGAGCAATACAAATTTCCCCTTGGGGCCCCTTTCCATAACCTTCTGTGCTTAGCCTCTTGGCATCAAGTCTGGGGATTTGTAAGCCTGTTCTTTCCTGCCTTCTCTGTTTACTTCTCTCGTTCCTGCCCTTCGCTCCAGGGTGCACTGAGTTTCCTCAAGGACAGTGAATGAGGCCACAGAGTGGAGGATGGTTGCTGCCAGCTAAGGCTGCCTGTCAGGACACAACTGCCACCTCCGCTCTGAGGATGTGTGATGCTGCAGGCAACAGCGGGAGGAGTGGGTGAGGGGTGCAGTGAGGGGATATATGCACGGCCCCATAGTCACCAGGCATGTCCTGGTTCTGCTTCTGGAGCTGTGGCTGCTGGCCCAGAGGAGAGAAGAAAGGTGTCCTTTTGGTCAGCCTGTTGGAAGCAGACAGGGCCTCAGTCTTCCCTGGGAACAGGGGTGGAGGTGTGGGGCAGCAGGGCCAGGGAACGTTGCCCTGGGCTGGCTGTCTCCCTGGGGAGCCAGGGCAGGGTACCAGGGCCTCTTGGACTGCTTGGTCATGTCTCTGCCATCTTGGGCAAGTCAGAGACACTCGTGGAGCCTCAGTTCCTGCCTGTCCCAACAGAGTGGCTGTGAGGGCAAAGGTGATGTAGAATGTGAAAGGTCACTGTCTAGCACTGTGCCTGGGAGGGGTCATTACAGAACTACTGTAGTTCGGCTAAACCTGGCTGGGAGGAATGGGAGAAAATGGATTGAGACAGAGTCCCTGACAGTGGTATAGTGAAGGGGGCCTAGAGCCTGGGCTCAGGTCCAAGAGGGGTGGCCAGAGCCCTGGACACTAAGCAGAGCCAAGCCCAGGGCAGTGCTGGGTCTCTGGAGGGTGGCCACGAGAGGTAGCATGACACAGGGTAGGCTTAGGGGTTGGGCTGGCTGGGTTCACTCATAAGCTGTGGCAAATCAGGTAACCACACCAAGCCTCAGTTTCCTCATCCATAAAATGGGGCTGATGATAGTAGCTACCTCTCAGGGTTGTTAGGAGAGCAGGGACCTTGTCCATCTCAAGCATGTAGGACAGTGCCTGGCATACAGTAGGTGCTCAATTAATTCTCACTGAATGAGAATGAGGACATTTGAACTTGAATGAGAAAACACATTCAAGTGCCTGGTGTGGGGCTAGGCACACAGAAGGGGCAGAATCAATGGTGGTGGTCCCCCTGCTTCCTGCCCAGAATAGGGCTCAGGGTCTCTTCTCTGGTGCCTCCATCCACAACCCAGAGCATGGGGACAGCACCTCAGCTGTTGCTCCTCCTGCTAACTAATGTTCACAGTGTCCTGGGAACAAGCTGGTCAGAGGCTCTGCTGGGTGGGCGTACGATTTTACAGAAACCCCAATGCCTTCTTCCTTCTGCCCCTTTCCTCCTGCCATAGCTTGTCCTTCTCTGTGCTCCTCTGCCCAACTGTCCCCTTCCACAGGCACCAGCCTGGCCCAGAACTAAGCCCAGGCTTGAAGAGTCCTTGCTTCAGTGTCTCTTCCAGGGCTGTGGCAGCTGCCTCCCATCTCAGGGAGGAACATGGTGTGCCCCGAGCCCCTGCAAGTCTGGGAGGGACCCAGGCTTCCTTCACCACCGTGGCTTCTCAGCAGCTGTTTTCCAACTACTGGAACCACCTCCTCAGGCAAAAACTGGCTGATGGGGGGGACAAAATGCAGCTGCCTCTGATCCCTGATTTCCCTGGTTTCCCTTAGCCAAGAAAGAAGAGTAGCTTGCAGCAGGGATGGGCAACCACGTGGCTAAGGCTGCCAAGTGCATGGGGCCTGTCCCTGCCACTCCCTGAGGACCTACCTGCATCTGCAGCGCTTGTGCTGAGAGAATGTCATTTCTAAGTAGGAGGTCTGATTCCGAATGTCAATCCTCAGGATCTGTGGGACAGAAAGGTTGGATGCCTGGATTGGGGAGGTGGCTGTGGGTTTCCAACACTCTTTCCACTTGTAGGAAGGACAAGGTTCCATGTTTCCCCCCACCCTTTGGGCTATGTGCCCTCATTCTGCTTTGAGTAGGGGGCAAACAGTCCTCCCACCGGCATGTGGATCTGAGGTAGGCCCCTGTCCCTCTCCACCCACGGCCACCAGCATAGCAACAATGTAGGAAGGGGATCTATTCTCTAGAGTCAGAGAGACATATGTTGAAATCTTGGCTCTTCCACCTGCTCAGCAAGGGAAATAACATCTCTGAACCTCAAGCTCCTTAATTCCGAAACAGGAGAAACACTTGCCTTGAAGGACCAAATGTTAAGGTAGCATTTATGAAATGCCTAGCACAGTGCTTGGCATTACTCAGCAAGTGCTCCACAAACCACTGTGTGCGTATGTGTGCGCCCGTGTGCGCACAAGGCTCAGGGCACCAAATGCTCCAGGTATAAACAGGGACTTCTTAAGTCTGAGCAGATGCAAATCTTTTCCATCCTCAATCAGATATCCTGGGTCCTGGAGTAGGGCTGAGCTAGAGCCCTGGACGGCTGATAAGGGAGGAGGTGAGCGGGCTCAAAGTTGGGATGCGGGCTTGAGAAGGAGGGGCACTGTGCTGGGTGGTAGAGCACAGGCCTGGGAGTCAGTGGCAGTCCTGTCACCTTGGCCTGCCCTCCTTCCTTCTCCAGGTGGGCAGGTGCTGTGGACCTCTGAGTAGGGTGTGTATAATGGGGCAGGCGGGACGTGTGGAGGAGACCCTTCCTACCTGCATGGTGACATTGGCCATCTCCACTGGCATACAGCGCAGGCCATCATCACCACAGCAGCCAGTGCAGCGCAGCAGGGGGACACAGGATGGGCTGAATATGTACTGCATCTCATCAGGGTACTCCGACAAGATGTCCACCAGCTTCTCCATGGTCCGGCAGTAGCTACGGCCCCATACTTCCTGGAAGGGCATCACTACAGGGGGGTACAGTCAGCTGGGTCAGGTCAGGAGGGCCCTGCTTCTTGATGCCCCTATCCTGGCTCCTTAGACCTTGCAGAGCCTTCCAGGTTTAGCCCACACCTCCTCCTGCAGGAAGCCCTCAGCCTATCTGAGCTCCCTCTGCTCTGAACTGATGTGATCCCTCTGGTTAGACTGCTGGACCCTGAGCTCATCTGCCAGGTGGAAGTCCCAGAGGAATGGAATTCCTCAGTGTCCTGAGCTCTCTGCTATATTCTCAACTGAGGCACCCACACCTGCCTTAGTGCCCTTGGAGTTTCGAGGAGCGTGCCCTGGCAGCTCCCCAGGCCCGCTGGGTCTTTCTCAGGCCTGACCTGGTGCTTCCTCGGTCCTGGGGACTTTGCAGAACACAGTTCTGTATGTTCTGCGAGACTGGCTTGCAGACTCTCACAGGGAGGGTTAGCCTTCGCCCCAGTCCTTATTTCCTGCCCCATTCTGGGCAAGCTCCTCTGCCAGGCAGCCAAGACTGCAGCCAGCAGCGTGCCCCATCCCCACTCCTTATTTTATGGGACCAGCCCTTGAACCAAACCGGACTACATCACTATAATTCCCACCTTTGGGCTATGTCCCTCCCTCACTTCTCATTTCTAACCAAATCAAGCCTACTACCCATTTCTCAAGGCCCGCCTCCCTGCCTCCTCTCTAAATTTTTCTCCAACTTTTCTAGAATGAACAGATGCTCCTCCTTTGAGCATAACTAGGCCCCAAGGACTGGCCTTATCTCAGCCACTGGTGGCTCCTATCTCCTTTACAACCAAACTGAGGCTCTGTGAGGACAGGGCCCCAAGCACCCAGTAAACACAGGCTAAATAATGACTGACTGATTAGATGATAGTTCACTGAAGACTATCAGGGACATCCCCAACCCTCACGATGTCCTGGTGCTCATGAGTGGGAGCTTTTGGGGGGCCAATCTGGACTCAAAAGATGCTGCTCCTTCAGAGGAAGACCTGGGGCCTGGCCCCAAATAGAGGCTCACAGGAAATGAGTAACCAGAAGCAGGAGACCTGGCTTCTAGTCCTGGCCCTACACTGACTCTGTGACCTTGGGGAGGTCACTTAACCTTTCTGGGTATATCGGTTTCCTGGGCTGGGGAAAAAGAAGCAGGTTAGGAATAGATAGTTGCTAAGGTCTCTCCCAGCTCTGACAGACGGCCTGTGATTCTGGGCACACTACCCAGTCCAGCCTTGAGGCCATGGGCAGAGAAACATCTCCGGCCCTGGGTCATCCTGCTCCACACATGATGGTTGTCCTCAGCTGGTAGAAGAAGACATGGGAGCTGGGTCACCTGGGGGCCCTGAAGCCTCTGCCCTAGAGCATTGGTTCTCCTACCATGGCTCACCTCCTTCCATGGCCCTTTCTAAGAGGCAGAAGGGGCCAAAGTCCATTCCACTGAGCCTATGAGGACGTGAGTCTCGGGGTAATCTCAGAGGAAAAATAAACTTCAGCCCCAGCAGAGGCCCTGGGGAAAGGCTGCAAGCTGGTGGAAAATACCCAAGAGGTGGTATGTCCACGTGGAGCTGGCCGAGGAGGTCACAGAGGCCATAAACCACACTTATCTGGGTGTCTGCTGCTCCATTCTGCTTTGTCTGCTTAGGGGGCACTAGGGCTGGGCCTAGGGACAAGAGGAACACCAGTGCCTCCCCTGATCCTACCTCTCCAGGCCACTGGGACACTCTCCCTGGACCCCCAAGTGGGAAACAAGCCCCTCTCCCCATAAGTAGCCCTAAAGCCCCAGGGAAGCCGGCCTTTGCAGTGCAAGGTCAGAGGGGCACCTCCCTATCATAACTCCACGAATGCGTGTTTAGTCTAAAATCTCCATGAGCACTATGTAACTCTGAACGTTTAATCTCCACCTTGGAAAACATAAATAATAGCAGAGAATAGCCAGCTGACGAAGTGCCATAGAACAGCAGCAGAGAAGGGGTAACCCAGCCCCCTACCAGTCTGCAAACAGACTCCCATCCAGCTGGGCTGTTGGGGCCACAGCCAGGTTAAGCAGAGCCAGCTGAGCCTTGGCGGCAAAAGAAGGGATTTCCTTTCCTCACCCCCACACCCACCACACAGGCTGCATCAACAGGCCCAGGCTCCAGGCCCTGAAATCCGCCACTTTCTGGACCACAAGGCTGGGTTGTGTTGGGGAAAGGCTGAGAAGGGGGTGAGCTGGGCCTGGTTTACCTGGCAGCCACCAGGAAAAAGGGTAGTTCATCTCTGGAGGCTGCAGTCTGGGTGAGTGGGAGAAACAAAGCGTCCCGGGTGGGTAAAGGGGCCAGTTCAGCAAGCGGTGACCACTCCCAGATGTGGGCCAAGGCCCTCGGCAAAGCGCTCTGCTCAGCTGCTCCTGAGAGCGCTTCCTCTGGCCCCAGACCTGTTCCAGAGGCAGGGGTCAGGGTGAGAGGAGTGGGAGGCTGTGGCCCAGTCAAGGGCCAGGCCAGGGCTAAGCTGTCCCACAAAGGCTGCTCCCAGGGCCACGAGTGGGCTCTCAGCTCTCGAGAGCCCTTATGGGCGAGCCTCCTATCCTGTTCCAGCTGCCTACCACCCAGGACAGAGGAGACCCAAGAAGGGCGATGTTTAATCCTGAGAGCAGCTCCTGGGGAGGCCGCCAGGAGGCCACAGGGCTGAACAGAACTGCTGGCCACCAGCCCAAGCCCTGCAGGTGTCCTCTCCATAGTCGCTGGTGGGGCACATAGCCAGCCTGCCGCAGGGACATTCTGCTCATGCCTGCTCAGCCATGAGCTGGGGATACTGAGGAGTGTTCAAGGCTTCAAGCAACTCCAAGGGCTTCTGTGAGCCTCAGGTTCTTCATCTATAAAATCTGGGGAATACAAATGCCTTCCTAGTTCACAGCCTGTGGCCAGCACAGAGTTATAGTAAATGCCCGATACTATTACCACGGTAGTAGCAGTAAAAATCAACATCCACGGCTGCAAAGTACAGGCCATGCTGTCTCTTGTCCAGGGTTAGCAGGAAGGGATGGCATTTTCAGATTTTGATAACTGGGGTCCAAAGCTCATGGGGCTTCCCCTGGCCATAATACAGGTCCCTGATTGATTAGGATGGCAGGTTAGCTGCCCTAATGAATTGACACTATGAGCCTCCTCACCCTGGTCCCTGAAAGATATATACTCCTCTGTCCCCCCATGGAACCAGAGAATTCTACAATCTTAGAAAAAAACCTTAGATATCATGCAGTCTATTGCTCCCACTTACAGATGAGGAAACTGAGGCTCAGACTGCTTCAGTAGCTGTTGCCTGAAATACACTAAAAGCATCAGAGGACATGGGTGGAGGTGGTGATGGGTCCCTCCCTGAATCTCCGTATAGTATTGTGCCAGTCTCAGAGGGCACAGCAAGGGGAGAGGGAGAGGATCAATGAAGTCAAGAGCTGCTACCTTCTCCGTGCCCAAGGACCTGGGGTTCAGGCATGAGAACATGGCCAGGCCCAGGAGAAGCTGACTACCACACAGGCAGGCCAGCAGAAAGAGGGTGTTCCCAGCTCGAACTGGCTATCATGCATGCGAGTGTGCAATGTCCCTACACACTCCCTCTTCGACAGAGCTGGGGGAAGCCTCAGAAATGGTGTGTGGCCTCACTGCTCGTCTTGGAGAGTCAGAGAGGGAGGAGCAAGGCAGGGGGCCTGGCATGAGCATCCTGCCTTCTGCACGTATGTCTCTTTGGCAACCGTCTAGCCTTTTGAAGATTCCTGTTTGATGCAACCCAGGGTGGAGAGTGGAGGGGCCAGGGAGGGCGCGACTCATGTTCTGTCTGTTTGTAATCAATGAAAAGGCCTGGCTGCTGGGAAGGGCTGGCTGCTGGGAAGGTCCATTCTCCCCTCCTGATTCTCTTCATTGCTTTCCCACTGCACCCAGCTCCCAGACCACCAGTCTAGGCCCTGGCACTCACTGCCCACGCTGCCCTCCAAGACCTCATGGGCCCCCTGACATCATGCTGGGAAGGGGCTCTGAACCAACTAGACCCAGTCCTGCTCTCTGGGTGACCCTGGCCCAGGAATACACTTCTCTAGGCCTCTGGGTCACAATGGGGCGTTTCTCAAGCCCTGCCAACTTTGTCAGCCAGGGCATCAGCAAGCTTGCAGACTTTTCCCAACTTAATATCATCCTGCACCCACCCTTCATGCCAGTCCCTCCCCACCCTCTGCAGAGGCTTGAAAGGAGAGGGCTTGGTGAGCACACACACCAACCCACCTTGCTTACCTTTCGTCCCTGACGAGTTGTTCCCAGCAGACAAAGCCAATTGCTGTGGACAGAAAGGTGCAGAAATAAGAGGGACCACCATGGGCCTCTGTGCTCTGGGGCCGAGGGTATTGGCAAGAGCATAGAGAGCCATCTGAGCTCCTTTCCACCCACTGCACACACTCTCTGCCCTGTCTCAGAGCTGTTTCTTTCCAGGTCCAACTAAAACCTCACTGGACCTTGGGTGGGTCCCAGGCCTCACTCTGGCCTCAGTTTCCTCATTTGGAAAGGGTAGGAGTCTAGAGGCTTTGGGAGCACTTTGCTTTCTGTGTCCCAAAGATCTTATAATCCTTAGGGGTCTTCCTCCTACCCAGCCCCCAGGCCACCCTGCTAGGCCCTATGCAGCCTGCTTTGGCTGGGTGCCAGAGCCTGGGAGAGGTGATCAGCTGGTGGGAGCAGAGGGGCTGAAGCGGGTGGCGCCATGAGCTGGTGCTGCCGGTAACGTTACACCTCTGGCCAGCCCTGCAGCAGGCGAGCGGGTGGCTGGTGGGGCTTTTCTGCCCCAGGGGTCTGTCTAGCCCACCCACTCCTGGGCTGGGGCAGGGGACTCCCAGGGCAGTGGGACAGCGCAGTGGGAAGGCAGCTCATTGGCTTTGTCAGGATTTCACTGCCCAAGCTGGCTCCTGGCCAGACTCCCCCGGCTCCTGGGAAAAGAGCCCTGCTCACTTCCCCAGGCCCTGCGCTCGGGACCTCCGGCTGCCCACCAGGGAGGGATGGCACAGCAAGACCGCTTGTCTTGCCCCTAGCCCACCCTGGAGCCCTGGGCTAAGCCTAGGGGGGTGGGCTGATGAGGGCATGGCCCAGCCTCACTACCAATGGCCTCTTCTGCTGGCTTTCCCGGCCACTAGACCGGGTCAGAGGTCCTGGGGGCGCCTGCCTGGTCACAGGCCTCGACCCTGACCACAAGGCCAGGGACCAGCCTGGGATTAGTGGAGAGATGCTTTTAGCAAAGCCACTGTGGCTCCAGGGGCCAGACAGGAAACCTCCCTCCCTTCCCTGTGGCTTCCCTGCCCCCACCAAGACAGACCCCAGAGCTGAAGTCTGGGACAGCCCAGCCTGAGGTCTCCTCCCAGACAACGTGGTCCTGAGGGACTCCTGGGAAATGTATGGACATCCTTGGAGGTGCAGCTCCTGGGAGTGCGTCTGTGATTTCTGAGCCCCCTGCTTTGAGTGCTGGGGCTGGGGAGATCAGGGGAGCCAGGCTGGGATGTGGGGGTGGGTCTTACCTGGGGGCACACAGCAGGCAGCGCCAGCCCAGCCAGGAGCTGCAGGAAGCAAGTGAACAGCCTCATGGCGCGCATCTTCTCAGACGTCCCAAGCCAGGGGGCTCCAACAGAAAACCGCCGTGCTCATCCCCCTGGGGGAGTCCCTGGCACAGGAGGAGAGGAGCTGAGTGGGGGGCTGGATGCCCCCCTCACTACTGCCCCGAGGTCCCCACTAGTGGCCCGGGCATCCTCTGGAAGCCCTGGGGATTCAGGAGCCCTCAGGTAAGTCTGTGGCTGGAGAACCTGCTGCGAAGAGCCCGGCCGGGCGGGGCGGCGAGAGGCAGGCGCGTCCCAGAGGAAGGTCCGTCGGGCTCCCAGCGCGACCCCGGGTCTCCTCCTGGCCGGCCCGCGAGGACGCGGCGTCCTGCTCAGACAGCAGCTCTTATGGGACTGGAGCCTGCCTGCGACCGGGTTTCAGGAGCGGTGAAGGGGGCGGG